AGTCTTGGTTAAATTTATGGTCAAATTATTACCATTATTTATGTAATATCATTAATAAGTGATGATATTGATAACATCTCATTTATATAGTGTTTTACAGTTTAGAAAGTGATGGTCCCTTGAGGCATGTAATACAATTATTCCCATTTTACAAATAAATTAATTTTTGATTCATTTAAGGGATTAATTTGTACCTAATAAAAGGATCACTGGGTGTGGTCACTTTAATGCCTTGTTGTTGGCCCCTTTACCATAATTAGGCTCTGAGCTTTCAAGGACTCCTCCCTTCCATAAAGGACAGTATTATTCTTGGTTTTGTAGCCTATATCATGTTAGCCTAAATTTTCTATCACTTGAGGGAGTAACAGAACTTCAAAATATGTCCAACCCTTGATGTCTTATTTTACAGATGATGAAACTGAAAATCTGGAGAGGTCATATGTCCATGTGTCCATGGTCACTTACCTAACATATATTGATGCTGATGCTTCTGACACCAAGTTCAGTGTTCTTTGCTAAACCCAGAACCAGCATTTTTGGTACCCAGAAGAAGCAGAAAAATTCCTAGGTGAAGATAGTGACATCAAGACATATATCATAGACCTCTATGGAGGAAAGACAGAGACCCTGGGAAATTGGCCCCTGTGCCTACAGACCTTAGGACAACAGAAGGCCATGCTGGGAAGGGTATTGGTTTCAATTAATTATTTTTATTAACTAGACACTAAGATCAGTAGTTTCCATTTTACCGAATACAAATGAGATCAGAACTCTCTAAATTTTATTACTCTGGGGAGAAACCATAGTCATCCAAGTTATGGCTTCATTCTTTCTGCTGCATCAGGGTCCCTCACTGAAGCAATATTAAGATATAGATAGGTGATAATAACAATAATAATAGTAATTAAAACTTATATTGTACTTATGTGCCAGGCATTGTACTAAGAGCTTTATAAATCTTATCTCCTTTGATCTTTACAGCTCTGGGAAGTAGATGCTATTATTATCCATAGTTCACAGATAAGGAAACTGAGACAATTTGAGGTTAAGTGATTTGCGCAGGGTCATATAGCTAGTGAGTATATGAGGCTAGATTTGAACTCAAGTTCTTCTGTCTCCAAATCCAGTTTTCTGTCTACTATGCCACCTAGTTATCTATGCAGCTATGTTTTTATGAGATATGTTAAATATAGGGGAAGGAAATAATGTGGCATCATCAGGGCATTTACCATTGCTATTGTTTTTTAGTAATGGTTATTGGTTTATACTTATCTATCTATACTATCTTACTAGAAACGCTTGTGACTAACAGTATGCATTTATTTGCAAGATAGCAATTGGCAGTTATGAATACAATCTATGACTAGGATAGGAGTGAAACTAGAGAGTTCACAAAGGCATTGAGTCCATAATATTGGTCTCATCTGCATGCATTTTAACTATTTGAGCTAACTACTCGAAACAGTACCAACAGAAAGTGTCTGCCATTTAACTCCTGCTGCACTTGTGTAATTCAGGATATGTAAAATGAAATGATCATAATTAGCATATCTAATTACTTTGGACTTCATTTTACTTATAACACCACTATATCTGAAGCCTGTGACCTTCTTTAGAGGGAGTCAGAAGACCGAGGTACAAGTCTCAGCTGTACCACTTTAGTGGCAGTATGACTCTGGGAAGATCACTTACCCTCTCTAATCCACTGTAAAATAGAGATGGTAATAATAGCTAACATTTATGTAGCAGTTGAAGGTTTTCAAAGTGCTTGACATGTAGGATTTCATTTGATCTTCACAACAACCTTGTGACTAAGTTCTATTATTATCCCCATTTCTCAAAGGAAGAAACTGATATTGAGAGATATTATTTGACTTTCCCACAATCACACAATTAGTTAGGATTGGAAGTAGGATTCCAACTCAGGTTTTGCTTACCAAAAAACCAGCACTCTATCACTTGTGCTACATTGCCTTTTATAGTAGAAATACATTCACTTCCTACCTCATTGAGTTATGAGGAAAACACTTGATATTTTTTAGCTCATTATTTAAGTAAATCTCTGTTTCCTCACCTACAAATTGAGAAGCCTTCACTAGATGATCCATAAGGTTCCTTCTAGATCTGTCTCAGTGATTCTATTAATTTTAAGCCATTTAGTAGTATTCCAACTACTTTTAATTGCCAAAAATGGCCATCAGAATGCGGACCTACAAGACACTGTTTATAGTCTCCTGTTTTTTTTTTTTAACTCTAATTCAATGTTTTACAACTGCTTGACCACAATCTAACGAGGTCGACAACATGCAAACAACTGTAGACAAACAAGATACATGCAGGATAAATTGGAGTTGATTTTGATGTGGGGTACTAGTATTCAGGGGCATCAGAAAATGTTTCTTTCAAAAAGCAGGACATTTACAACTTAAAGGAAGCCAGAGAAAGTAGAAGGCAGAGATGAGAAAGGAAAATTCTAGGCATGAGGGACAGTTAGTGAAAATGCACAGACTTCCAGGTCATAAAACCAACAAAATGGAAGATAAGTATTTTCTCAAATCCTCATGACCCCTCAAATCTCCCAAAATATGAGATATGTGCAAAACATAAAGCAATTTCAGCTGTCTCCAAGATCTAAGACCTCAAGAACCACAACAAGGTAACAACTCAATGAACAGCAAAAAAGATCATTCCTAAACCCAAACACGCTTACTCAGCACCCTCTCCCCTGCAAGCTGCCATACCCTGGCAAGGTGGCATAAGTAGATTCATGGACTTGCAGTAGAACACAACCCTTCTCTCTCTCCCTCAATTTCCCTCCATGCCCCATGCTATGGAAAGCAGGAATTGAGGAATTATACTCTGCCTGAGAGGGTAGTGTGGCAGTGCATCGTCTTACACGGTGCTCAGTCAAAGAACTGAGGAACAGAGGGAGTGGGGTAGGGTTCCAGCTTGCATATGGGGCACCACCAAGACTGAAGCAAAGGGGATTGGCATAAAACTGAAGCCACTTTTGTCCCCCTGGAAGTCACTTGTGGCAGAGACAGGTCAGTAAAAAATAAATTCCACAGTGTGGTAGGAGGATGAGACAACTGTGAGGACAACTTTGCAAGAATTTAAAAATAGAGGAATAGAAGGGGGAAAGACTGAAATTAACAAAGATCTCAGTAGGAAGAAAACTTAATTGAATACCTTGAGCACTAACAGATAAATCAACAAGGAATATGTCAATATCACAAGGGAATATGGTCTCCAGATCAGCTAAATAAATCCAGTCATCTCTGAATAAATATTGTGAGACAAAGAAAAGTGAAACAATACCTGATAAGGCAGAGGACCCTGTGTATTCCCAAGAAAGTATGGAACCACAGTAAAAATGTTTCTGAATGATTCAAGAGAGAAATACAAATTTTAAAAGTAGAGTGGCCTTATGGCCTGCAGGGCAGAAAAAAATAATCAGACAAAGAGATAACTTGAATCCAAAACGGCAAATCTGACCAAAGAACCAAAAGAGAAAACAATTTATTGGGAATGCAAATGCAAAGAAATAAAGGATAATCTCTAAGAAGAGAAGCAAAAAAAGCAATAATGTTAAAAAAAATCATCTCTTTAAAGGAAAACATGTTGGTCCCAAACACAATTTGCACAGATTAAGGATTATGGGTCTCCCAGGAAAACACAAGTAAAGAAGAAAAAAAAAAACCTGAATACTATAATGGAAAAAATAATACCGAATAACTTTCCTGAACTTCTAAACACAGAAAACAAAATACCAATTGAAAGAATCTACAGATCACTTTAAAAACAAACAAAAAACCCTGTTCTGAAAACTACAACACACATAATGATTAAATTTAATAATTCTAATGAGAAACAAATTCTGTAAGCATCCAGAAAAGGGATCTTTAAATATAAAGGAAAGGAAATTTAAATAATAAAAAAGTATTTAGGACCCACCAGAAACAGTAGAAAGAAATGTAATAGTGTGATCTGAAGACCAAAAGAGTACAAGATGTACCCTGATGTGACATACCTTACAAACCTAAACCTAGAGATAACAAAAGATAAACATTCAATAAAAAGAGAGATAAATTTGAAGGATTCCTACAAAGATGTAGGTAAACTACTTGCTTTTCAGATAAGAGAAATAAAGAGAAGGCAAACAATAATCAAAGAGGGTACAAGTAGTGAAATAAATTACCTCAGGAGAAAAATGCTAGAAAGACACCTTTGGAATTAAAAACAACCACAACAACTAAACAAAAACAGATAGACCATCAAGAGAGTTCTTTCTAAAAGTACACAAGGGGACAAGGGTAAAATCAAAGTGTAAATAGAAAAACTGATGGTGGTGGAACAGGCCTGAAATACCATGAACACCTCACAACATTCTGCCTATAAGTCAATCAATATTTTGGGGGGTACCAAATTGTAAGTTCATAAAGAGAATAAAAATGAACAGGAGAGGAAGAAGAGAGAGAGAAAACTTGATGTACTCTATTCAAGTCAATGAGCAGCCAGGTGGCACATGGATGAAGTGCCAGGCCTGGACTCAGGAAGATTTCAAATCTGGCCTCAAACATTTACTAGCTGTGTGACCCTGGGCTAGTCAGTTAACCCTGTCTGCTTCAGTTTCCTCATCTGTAAAATGAGCTGGAGAAGGAAAGGAAAAGCCACTCCAGTATCTCTGCCAAGAAAACCCCAAATGGGGTCATGAAGAGTTGGACACAACTGAAAATGACAAACAACAACAACAAAGGAAGTCAAAAGAAAAATGACTTCTGTCATCTTTCAGGAAAAAGAGGTCCTACAGGAGAGTGGAGGAGGTGCCAAAGCTGGAACTGAGGTGGGGAAAAGAAGGAAAAAATCTTGATTCAATGACAGGAGGGGCTACCATGTCAGGGGAGAGAAAATTCTGTAATGGGAGGATGTTACAGTGGGTATAATCTGCAGGAATTTATTGCTTAGAGAGACCACTACCTGTGAGTGTTGTGCCTCCACAGACGGCATCTTGCCTCAGAAGAAGGGCAATCAGAGTGTCTAGGGGCGACTGACACTCAGAAGGGTATGAACCCAGAGGAGGACATTTTGTGGTAAATGGTGAAAAAAATTATCATGGTGAGGACAAAGGATGGTAATGAATTACACAGTCAGAACCATAAGAGAACTTCTACCATGGGCAATACTTTTATCCCCTGTTTCTCCTACAGGAATTAATATTTCTAAGATTGAGGCAGAACAGAAAATACATGAATAGGAAACAAGAACCAGAAGGCAATAATAAACTATATAGAAGAGGAAAATGCACAGCTGGGAGATGGAGTGTCTTGTGCAAGGAACATCATGGAGTCCAATGTCACTGGATTTAAAAATTCGGTGTCACTGAAGTAAATAATAGAAATCTCGTTTGTTGTAGCAAGATTTTTGTTATAATGAAATTTAATCTGTATAGATCCTATATCACTTACAATTTTAGTTTGAAGACAGTTGGTTAGTGAATTTATGGAATATGGGCACAGTGTAAATCTGCCAAGCAATAAAATTGTTACATTGTGTTCTAGCTGAAATGGCTCAATAGCATTTCATTGAGGTTTCAGTTAAAATGAATTAATAACAATAAGTGGCATTTAAATATTTAATGTTTACAAAGTGCTTTTCGTAACATCATCTCATTTGATTTTAACAATAACCCTATGAGGTCAGCACTACAGGTATTTTTGTCTCTATTCTACAGATGAGGAAACTGAAACTCATATAGATGATATGACTTGCCCAAGATCACACAGTTAATAAGTCATAGAGCCAGAATTCAAATAAAGTCTCCTCAATCCAAAGTCCAGTGTTCTTTTTACTGTGCCACAATTGCCTACAAAGAATCATCACCTTGTTACTGGCATTATTTTATTTTAAAAGGTCTGTTTTTTCAGACTGCCCAAAGTAAACAAAAATCTAAAATTTTCTTTTTAAAGAGAAGATAGTTAGTCAAGTGAATAAAGTAGATAGAATGTTGGACTTGGAATCAGAAATACTCAAGTTCAAAGCCTGACTCTGTAATAACAGAACTTACAGATACATCCAACCCCTGATATCTTATGACTAAAACATTAACTATGTAAAAAAATTTACACAAACACAAAATGTATCTCATATGAAAACAAAAACATAACAACATTATAACAGGTCTGGAAACCATTTAATGTGAGAAATGTAAAGTGTTTATGACCTGGAGGAGAGAAGACACAACACAATAGCTGTCTTCATATATTTGAAGATGTATTTCCTAGAAAGGTGTATAGATCTGTTCTAGATTGCTCCAAGGGCAGAAGCAGGTAAAGCTAATGGGTAGAAATACAAAGGAATTGGAGTTTCATTCAATACAAAAACTTTCTAACAAGAGGCTGCCCAACAATGGAACAAAGTCAACTCATGAGATGTTGACTTTTATATCAATTAGAGGTATTCAAGAAGAGATTCCCAACAATGTGGAATGCTGGGGAAAGATTCCCAGTGCTGAATTAGACTGGAGAATCCCTAATGTTTCATCTAACTAAAACATTCTATGATGGCTAGCCATTATTCTAGTGAAGGTTAACATTCTCATCTTGAGTTGTCCAGTGGACAAGTTCATTTTCCTTGGCTTCATTTGATTTTAACTCAGCACTATTTTTTTAAGTCCCAGGAGACTACAGCAAGAGGGTCTATCAAGGTGTCAGAGTGAAACACACAGTCAAGGATCTGCTGGCAGAAAAAAGATCCAGGCAAACAAGTAATTCAAGATTTAATGTAAGTTCCAATTTAACTTAAATGCAGTGTTAGGTTGTAGCATGCTTTTAATGTAAGGTCTCCTATTCTATCATCCCCTACCTACCTCAATGCATATATGCTCATAATATTACAATAGCTAGCCTTTGTATAGCATTTTAAGATATGCAAAGTGTTTTACAAATATTGTCTCATTTCATCCTCACAACAACCCTGTGTGGTAGGTGTTATTATTGTCTGTGTTTTACAGATAAGGAAACTGAGACTTAAGGAGATTAAATGACTTACCCAGCATTACAGAGCTGGTAACTGTGTCTGAATTTGAACTCATCTTCCTGACTCCAGGCTCAGTGCCCTATCTACTGCAATAATAGATCTATGGATACTGGCTTAGTCAATAAACAGTAACTCCAACAGATGTTTCCCTATGTTGGACTATAGGAATCATCTCTATTGGAATGGTATTGGTATTCATCAACTTGGGGAACTTTTAATATGGGAACTCCCTCTGTTGATGCAGATCACAACCTGTATGTGCTTTCCTAGATAAGTTCTAAGGAGTTATTTGAGGCGCAGAGAAATAAAATGGCTTACCCAAGGGCACATAACTCATAACTGTCAGAAGTGGTATTTGAACCCAGATTCCTGACTTCTTGCCTGGCCCTCTGTTCACCATGCCATGCTACCTCTATCACTAAAATTTATTATACATTAATGAGCAAGTCTCACCAAATGTAGCAAAGCCCCACTACAAAGGTGGCAGATCCTCAGAAACACCTCTGCCTGCATTGCATAATATCTCAAGTCCATCCCTGGTGGACCTCACTTCAGCTTGGAAAAGAGAGTAAGCAAGCATGTCTTTCTGGGGATTGCTGAAAGGCCCAGCAAGAAGATAGGGAGTATGTGTTGGGGAGGGGATGGGGATGGGGATCAACAAACTAAAACAGCTTGGAGTGGGCCCCTTCATCCTGGCACCCAGAACTCCCAGGCTGGAAGGAGCTTCCCCTCACCCAGGTAACCAGGTAAAAAACCCTGGGTATCTAGAGAAGGAGAAGGAGAATTCATCATTACTACTACAAAAAGTGTATGTTGTAAAATTATATATTCTTTAAGATACAACACAATAGATTTCTAGTCTGAATTTTGTCACCTAAGAATATACTTCAATAGATAATTTTGTTTCTCTAGAACTTGGTCATAGACTCACAGAATTCCAGTGTTGGGAGAGACCTCCCATCTGGCCCAATTTGCATCCGAAAAATGAACCCTTCCAAGCATAGCCCCATTGTGTTCATCCAACCTTTCCCTGAAAACCTCAAATGAAGGGAAATCCATTACCTTCTGAGGCAGCTTATTCACCTTTGGATCATTCTAATTGTCAAGAAATTTCTTGTCAGACATGGTGGAGAATGCCTGTAACCCCAGCTACTGGAGCTGCTGAGGCTGGCAGGTCTCTTGAACTCAGGCATGCTGAGCTACAGTGGGCTAAGCTGATCTGATGTCCACCTAAAGTTCAGCATTAATATAGTGAGCCCCTAGGGTGCCTAAGGTGGGGAAGGGGTGCAAATTTTAAAAAAAAACAGAGCAGGTCAAAGCTCCTGTGCTGATAAAAGTGGAATCAGGCCAGTGAGTAGCCCTTGCACTTCCAACCTTGCCAAGATAGGGGGACCTAGGCTTTAGAAGGAAGAGAAAGAGAGACAGAAAGAGAGACAGAGACAGAAAGAGACAGAGAGAGAGACAGAGAGTGAGAGGGAGGGAGGAAGAAAGGAAGGAAGGAAGAAAGGAAGGAAAGAAGGAAGGAAGGAAGAAAGGAAAGAAGGAAGGAAAGAAGGAAGGAAAGAAGGAAGGAAGGAAGAAAGGAAAGAAGGAAGGAAGGAAGGAAGGAAGGAAGGAAGGAAGGGAGGGAGGGAGGGAGGGAGGGAGGAAGGGAAGGAGGAAAGAAGGAAGGGAGGGAGGAAGGAAGGAAGGGAGGAAGAAAAGAAGGAAGGAAGGAAGGAACCCCAATATCTTTAAAGGTCATAGAAAAAGATTAAAAATGACACAGGGTCCATGGATCATTTTATTCTGCTTCAGTGGTCTTAGGAATAGGCAAGATAAGGAACCATATTGGAAGGGAGATGGAAAAAGGAGGAAAAAGGAGAGGGAAATCACTATCATGTAACAGAAGTATAAAAGATGAACAGCATATGTCTGAAGGAAATGGTGAGAGAATAGGCGTCTTATGAATTTCAGTTTCATCTGAATTAGATGAAGCAAGATTAAACACAGTTACACATACACAGAGAGAGATTTTGATATAGAAATATTTTAAATTCAAAAGGAAAATATGAGGAGAAAGGGACAAGAGAAGGATAGAGAGGGGTTTAGGAGGGAGGACTAGATAGGTAAAGTAATAGTCATAAGCAAAGCAAACATATTGAAGAGAAAAATGTAAAAAGGTTAAAAGGAAATGATTAAAGGGTGATCTTAACCTGTGATCAGGGCTGAGGTAAAGAAGAAGAGAAGAACTGAAATAGAAAGAAAATAGGTGATTTCACTTGTAAGATCATAAGTTTCAGGCAATTTCTCTCCCATCTACTACATTATTATTATTTATAAAGAGAGAAGTAGGAATAAAGAGTGGTTAAAAATTATGCAAGAACAGGATGAAGGAACTATACAACTAGCAATCATAACTGTAAATATGAATGAGATTAACTCAACCACAAGCTGGAAAGAGATAACAGAATGTATTAGAAAACAGAACCTGACAATATGTTATTTATAAGAAACTCACTTGAAACACAAAGATTTGCATAAATTTAAAATGAGGGACTACTATGGACTCAAAAAATCATTGGTAGCAATCATAATTTCAGATAAAGCCACAATAAACATAGATAAGTTAAAAAGCTGTAAGCAGAGACGTGACATTATGCTTAAAAGCACCATAGATAATAAGTCAATATCAATAATTAATACATATACATCTAATAACAGTACCTAAATACATAAAAGAAAAGTTAATCAAATTGGAGGGACATATAGATGGTAAAACTATTCCAATTGGGGGCCCCTAAGTGGCACAGTGGATAGAGCACCAGCCCTGAAGTAAGGAGGACCTGAGTTCAAATCCAGCCTCAGACCAAACACTTGACACTAGCTGTGTGACCCTGGGCAAGTCACTTAACACCAATTGCCCCCCCAAAAAAACTATACTAATGGGAGAGGAACCTTAATATACAGCTTTCAGACCTAAACAAATCTAACTAAAAGATAAATTTTTAAAAAGGCAAGGACTTGAATAAAACTTGAGAAAAAATTAGAATAATAGACCTCTGGCAGTTACTGATTGGGAATAGAAAAGAATTTATATGCTCCCAAGTGTATATATCAATGTAACAAAAGCTGACTGTGTGTTAGAACATGAATATTTCATTTTTAAAATGTAGAAAAGCAAAAACACTAAACATATCATTTAAAGATCATAATGCAATAAAAATTAAATTCAATAAAAGCCCCTTAAAAAGATTTTGAAACTAACTGGACACTGAATTACATAATTCTAAAGAACTGGTGTGTCAAAGAATAAATTATAGAAATAATAAAAAAAACTTCATAAAAGAAAATTGCAATAATGAGACAATATGCAAAAGCTTATAGAATGTGGCTAAAGCAGGTCTAAGAATACCTAAATAACTGGAGAAACATGAATTGCTTATGGGTAAGTCAATATATAAAAATTACAAAACTACATAAATTAATTTATAGATTTAGCACTACACTAATCATACTCCCAAAAGAATATTTTATAGAGCTAATAATACACCCAAAAGAATATTTTGTAGAACTAGAAAATTTTAAAAATTCATGTGGAGGAACAAAAGGTCAAAAATCCCATGGAAAATAATGAAAAAAATGGTTTAAATAAAGCATATCAGTAAGTATATCAGTACCAGATTCCAAACTGTACTACAAAGTCATAATTATTTATCATTAATCTATTTGGTACTGAGAGAGAGAGAGAGAGAGCCCCATTATACACAACATAGAGAAGCAAACAAATACAGTAGCATAGTCTTTGATAAGCCCAAAGACCCCAATTGCTATGGAGAAGGCTTTAGTCTTTGACAAAAACTACAGCTCTCTGGAAGAAATTAAGGTTAGACAAACAACTTACACCATACACCAACATAAATTCCAAATGGATACACTTAGATATAGATGGTCACATCATAAACAAACTAGAGGAACAAAGAAGAAATTACCTTTTGCAATTATTGGTAGGGAGAGTTCATGACTAAATAAGTGACAGAATCTCAGAAGATAAAATGGAAAATTTTGATTATATATAATTTAAAAGTTTTTGTGCAAATAAATTTAATGTAGTACACATTTAAAGAAAAATAGATAACCAAAAAAAGAATCTTTGTAGCAAATTTCTCTGATAAAGGTTTTGTTTCTGAGTTATGTTAAGGAACTGATTCAAATTTGCAAGATTAAGAGTCACTCCCCAAGTATATAAATGATCAAAGGATATGAAAAGGCAGGGATGAAATCCAAGCAATCAACAATCATATGAAAAAATGCTCTAAATTTCTAATAATTAGAGAAATGCAAATTAAAGCAAATTGAAGTTACAGTTTGCACTTATCAAATTGGCAATGACAAAAGAGAAAAACAAAAAATATTGGAGAGGCTATGGGAAAACAAGTACACCAGAGCACTATTGATGGAACTGTGAATTGGTTCAGCCATTCTGGAAAGCATTTTGGCACTATAACCATAAAGTTGGCAAGTTCTTATACCCTTTGATCGAGCTACTTTTGATACCACTACTAGGCCTAACCTTCAAAGAATTAAAGGGGTAGGGGGAATGATCAATATGTACAAAGATATTTATAACAGTTCTTTGTGCCCAAAATTGGAAACTAGGGAGGAGGGTTCTCCTCTTGGGGAATGGCTAAACACATTGTGGTATATGAACCAAAAAGCATATTATTATGCCATAAGACAAGACAAAATGGGAAATTTTTCAGAGG